CGGCTGTCGACCAGCACCCCCAGGTCCTTTTCCGCCAGGCAGCTTTCCAGCCACTCTTCCCCAAGCCTGTAGCGCTGCATGGGGTTGTTGTGGCCAAAGTGCAGGACCCGGCACTTGGCCTTGTTGAATCTCATACAGTTGGCCTTGGCCCATCGATCCAGCCTGTCCAGGTCCCTCTGCAGCCCTCCATAGGCTTATGGAAAGGAGTGAGAGCTGGACTGAAAAGGTCAGTCGTGCTCTGCAACAGGCGTGATGGAGGAGCTTACGCTGGCATAGCCATCGGTTTAGGTATTAACAGTGTAACTGCCAAGGAAAGTTAATTCCTGTACAGATTCAACCCTGACTCACAGGTTTGTGGGGGAAGAAAAATCTAGAAGCAGGAGTGGCAAAACGCCAAAGGTGGTGAAAGGAGGGAGAGCAGACTAAGCGAAGCAGGGAGGTGAAGAGGAGCTGGGAGAGCGAAGGGGAAACCTTCCCAGCTCCAGGGGCTATCAGGTGTTTCAGTAGGTTTGAGGAAAACGGTGTGGAGAGGTAAAGCAGTAGGACGAGGCCCTGTGGGAGTGTGGAGAGAGACAGACACATGCAAGAGACCTACAGCTGATAGAGGGGTACCTGCAAGAGAAGGGATTAGTGGGCAGAGGAAGCAGCTGAGAGGCTTAGATATGGAGTAGGTAAGGAAAAAAGTTGATTTTTAAAAATTATTATTCTCTGCTTTTTCTTCTAGGCAAACTTTATTCAAAATATATCACCGTCCTTACAATACTTGGCTTGAGTCATGCTCCAGCTGCCCATCACCTTCTCAGGCCAGGCTGCACCTTTCCAGTCCCAATGGCCCAGGAAGCATTTCCAAATACAACCTTAGACCCTAATCAGCCCCCTCCATAGGCACCAAGGTACTTTCTGTGCTTTGCAGAAACCCCAAGGTTTTCCCTTCCCAGGCTCAACCACAGGCACCTCTCCCTACCCTTCAGGTGGGGCGAGCTATTTGGTGTTGAGTCCAGCCCCACGCAGCCTCCCCGGGAAGGTGCAGGATAGGGGCAGGCACGACAGGCAGGGCACCAAGAGGTCTCGCTCCATCATGGAGGACAAAGAGAGCCAAATCGTGGCAGAGAGTGAGGAAACAGGGTTCAGCGATGACTCGTGGAAATCCGTTTCTCTGAGGAAAAGTGAATGGGAGATCTTTCACTGAAAGGTTTGACTTATCTGGCTTTTTTTTCTCATCTAAATCCCTTTGAAGGGGATTACCGCCCTGCACTCCCCCAGTTTGGATGTGCAGCTGCTCACAGCAGGTTGCAAGGGGCACTTCATTTCTTGAGTGCTGCAGGAAAACTAGGTTTTAGAGAGGCTGGGGGTCATGTTCTGCAGTGGGTGCCACCATGTGAGCACAGCGACTTCAGGATTGGTGAAGCGAGCCCTGGAAACCCTGTCCCATGGCTGTAAATAGGTGACTGTGATTGATGGGGATGCTTCGGAGAAAGGACAGATTTTGGGAGACTATTGCAAAAGGATGTTGCCACCTCAAGGCATGTCTGACAGGGGCAGCTCCTCGGAGGGGCCACACAGGCTGGCAGTCCATGGGAAAGGCGAGCGGAGGCCGCGGAGGTGCTGTCCCTGCCTTGCCCTCGACGGCTCGCCACCTCGGTCCCTTCTGCATAGTTGCAGCTGTGGGCAGAGGGGACAGAGTGGACGGGGATGGTGCCATGCCACCCCATGCCAGCCCTGCGTGGAGACTGGCTGGGGCAGCCCTCTTCATCCCTAAAGCTTTACACTCACCCTTTAAGCAGGGTTTGCAGCAGGGGGGATCTCGACCCGTGTAAAGACAGTGTGGATGTTTTGTGCCTTGACAGCAGTGAGTCCAAGTGCAAACCGTGTGTGATCTGAATATCCAACAGTTACACCTTGGAAGCTCTAATAAAGCTGCCTCTGAACCGCATACATGGAGCAGAGGCCGGGACTGGGAGACAGAGGCACCTTTTTTACTCCTTGGGCGCACCCACCGGGGTAAGTGACATCTTGCTGGGGCACTGCCAGATCGTCGGGCCAAAGGCTCAAGCCCCGCAGCCCTCTGAAAGCCACATCTGCTTATAAGGGTTGTGTGTACAACGTGCTGTGTGTTGGCCTCGGTAAACAACTTAGCAGAGAAGGCAAAGCAGAGCTGTGCTACACTTGACATGCCGCCTGCCGTCTGGGGGATAATAGCTTAGTGCTCGTCAAAATGCTCCTTTGAGGCAAACGATGGAGAAACATCGTCTGGCGCTGTATTGCCAGGATTTGGCCCAGCTGATGAACAGTTGAAGGGTTCGAAAAGATAGGATAATTCTTCCAAGTCATTTTTGCCCCGCGTTGCACCGCGCATAATGAAATAAGGAGATTCGGGAGGGTTAAACCAGCTAAAGGAAGGCAGCGATCTCACAGAGCTGCACATCCTCTTTGATGAACACCATCTTTTGTCACATTTCAGGCATGGGCCTGAGCTGTGCCTTAGATTGCATCAGGCTTTTACCATAATTTCTGAGAGTTCAGCTTTTGTATATTCACTTCTACAAGAAAAGTTCTTGAAAAGTGCAGTAGTCAGCAATTTTACAGCAAAGCAATTTTTCCAACAAGTATTAATGTAATTAAGGGGGGATGGGATGTGTGCTGGAGCTTAAGAAACACAATTTAAATACACAGGGACAATAGATATGACAAGGAGGATGGAGAGGCAGGAACAGGATCATCACCTGGATTTCGGAGCCTGTCTTTTTGCTGGCTGGAGAAGCTAGTCACTTTTTAAAATAGAAATCAAAAGGTGGATGCTCACCGATGTGAGATTCTGATCATTAGATGTCTCAATGACGTGCGATCAAATCCTGCAATGCATCAGTGACTTCGTCTGACCACTCTTGGAGTGGGTCATCACGGGGGGAGATCTCAGCCTCCCCCTCTACAAGACCCAACGCCCCATGTGCATCTCCCAGTGTGAGTGCTTTTGCTGCCTCTTTCTAAATGGCTGCATTTTTGTCATCGTGGCCATCTTCCTCAGGTACCGGCTGCTTGTCAAGGCCAATCAAGTCACTCAGGAGTGAATCATGGTAAAACAAGGTTAAGGCAATGCTTAGCAGAGCAGGGTATGAAATGATTGGTCCCAGAAGTCCCGACTGATGTACAGAAGCAGAGTGGGGTTGATGTGAAAGGGCTCTTGCAAGTGGGAGAGGCTGCGCCCACCTCAGAATAGCCATGGGGATAGCCTACGGGATAGCCTCCAGGATAGCCTAGGGGATTAGCCTCCAGGATAGCTTACAGGATAGCCTATGGGATAGACTGCAAAATAGCCTAGAGAGGATAGCCTGGGCGGTAGCCTCCAGGACAGCTTACAGGATAGACTGTTACATAGCCTAGGGAATAGCTTACAGGATAGCCCATGGGATAGCCCTACAGTGGCAAGGACTCCCTCCTGGAAGACTTAAGTGCCTGCTCCAAGCTGGCAGAGGAAGGATATGAAGCGAAGGCTTGCACCCCCCCCAGAAAAAGTCACCTTGCCGCTGGCTCTGAGGGCATTAGGAGTACCGCTGGCTTCGGTCCGAAAGGCCAGCCTGGCTCTGGCTCCCAGACTGGCTCCAGGACCCACTCAGCCCCGCCGGCTCTTACGAATCCCCTTCGGACAGCGAACGAGCCCTGCCTGCGTGGTGCAGGGGGCAGCCGAGGCTGCACTTCATGCCGTGCTGTAGCCCGCAGGGCCACGTTGGCCTCCTCTGCACGTCAGTTGTGCCTCGCTTATGTTGCAGCAGGGGCCTGGGGGTGGGCAGGGAAGGCAGCACCGACCCTGCTTCCACAAGCCCAACTCTCCCAGACTGCAGCGCAAAAGAGGCCAGGAAATGTTTTCGCAGCTTCTCTGTCAGAAGCCTCACAAAACACCGAGAACTAACACTTGCAGGACTATTTCCAGCTGCTGTGCATGCTTGCAGCCCACCAGACAGCCTCTCACCTGCGAGGGCGGAGGAGATGCTGTCTCCAAAGCTCTCTCCCCTCTGTGACCGAGTGTCACCCGCCGCTGCTTCAGCTCCCCACAAGCGCAGGCACTACAGCACAGCACAGACATGCAGCAGATGGCATTTGGCATCCGCTCAGAGAATCGACCGTCGGATGCTTTGCTTCCTCCTGGTTTTTGGCTGTGCCTTCCCATGGGAGATGCCTTTGCCAGGATACTTCACGTTCCCTTAAATCACAAATTCCTTCGCTCCAGGGGCGGCACGGAGGGTGTTGGGTGAGAGCATGGGCTTTACACTTTCGTCATGCTTCTGAAGCTTACAGAGAAAAAAAAGCTGCTGCTTTTTCTTTCTGTCCTTGTAATGATAACAGGAGGGATGTGGACATTAAGCTGCCAAGTTTGGGCTGAGACGGTCCGAGCCCTGGCTGCGGCGGGTGAATGAAAGGACACTCCCAGCGCAGGGCATGGCTGGGAGCCTGTCACACCACTTGCAGGGTGCGGGCAGCTCACCGGAAGGGTCGTCGCTAATTAATAATTACGGTCCTATTTCACCACAGAAACAAATGACACCTCTCACCAGCCTAACGAAGGAGGTTTAGCCCCCCCACCCCAGCCCCCCCGGGGGATAAGTGCCACTTGGCCTTGTGTGTAAGAGGAGCTCGTCGGCCCCAGGGTCAGAGCTACAATGCAGCTGCCCAGCAGCTCTCAGCCCTAAAGCCGAGAGGGGTTGTTGCTATGGGAATCGAGAGGGCACTTGCAGACAGCATCTGGAGCCTGTGTCTTTCCCTGTCCAAGGCAGCTGGATTTGGAGGGAAGCAAAACTAAAAGGAGGTGGCAGAGAGAGACAGAGGCACAGCAAAATGCATGCATGTTAGAGGAGGGACCTTCCCAGAATGAGAGTACAGTGGGATACAGAAGAGCGGGGACACCAAACTGTCAGGCAGCGGTGGCTCGGCTTGGTAGGATAAACCTTATTTTCTGCTCTGTCTGACATTGGAAAAAGATCCAGTGAAAGCCCGACTGTAACAAGATGGGATCTGCCTCCTCAACTTACCGGCCCAAGTGTATTTATTTGGATATTGATGGAAGAATTCAAAAGGTACTTTTGCTGTTTTTCACAACGTAGTGTTTCCGGACGCAGCAGCAGCTGCGGGCTGTGTTTGCTGCACGATCTATTTCTGTAACGCGAGTTAGACGCGTGTTTGCATTCAGCGCCGTTGCAGGCTTCACATCTCTTTTTAAGGGGAGGGGGGGGATCTTGAGTGGCTTCTGCTTTGTACACGGATGTTTATTTAAAGGGGAAGGGGAGGCTGGCAGCAGGGGAGCGCTGGGCACTGCCAGCTCTCACTGCCTGTGTGGGGACCCTTGGTTTAGCAGCCGTGTAGGCTTCCTCTCCCGGAGCAGCGTTGCGACATGTTTACAAAGTTTTGCCTGCAGAGAGGTTTTCACCTAAGAAGTGGGAGCCGGAAAGCACAGTGTGCCGAGTGATTTGGAGATTGCCTGCCGGAGGGTTTTAGCGATGGGCATTTTCCTACCACCAAGCTGAACGGCAGGCAGGTGCCCGGCTGTTGTGCGATGGGGTGTGCTGCTGCATCGGTGGGGGGCTGCGGGTCCCTGCCACCTTTGCCAAGTTGTTCGTAAATGGCGATAAACATTAATTAAAACTTCCACTTCCATTAGCCTGCCTTGTTTGCTTAACTACGGTTCACAGCACAGGGGAAACTGCGGGAGAAATGTGTTCTGGCTAAAAGGGAGAGCTTGCACACTGCAGACAGCCCACTGCTTTTAAACAGAAACAATGCCGCCGCATTTTTGTAAGTCATCTTTTTCTTCTTTTTGTCAGCAATTCTTTGGCCACAAACCAAGTGCCTTTTTTGTAACAGAGTGAAAGCGGCTGCGAGGATCAAGAGCAACTAAACTCTGACTTGCAAAATTCAAATCTCTCTCTCTCGTCTTCCTGCTCTAAATCTTCATTTCACCCAGCCTTGCCTTTTGTTTCTCCTTTAAAAAGGAAGAGCAAAGGTACCCTTTCCCTTCCCTCCCCTTTGCTGTACGAGTGACCGCAGAAATGAGGCAAAGGGAAAGCTGATACTCACAGTCCCGTCCCACCGCACACGCCTCCGTTGCCTGTGGTCCCCTCTGCCACTGCCCTGGAGACCCACCGTGACTGCCAGAGTCCTGTCCTCAGGAACAAGACCTCAGAGAATCCAAATCTGCGCCGGGTCCCCCACAGCAGGCTGCTCCTCTTCATCCATCTCGGGGCTTAGACGTGACGAAGGTCCCTCTGCTGCCACGGACTCCTCCACACCGGCGTGCGGGAGCGTGCTGGCTCTGCTGACCTGAAGGCGCCGCTTCTCTTTTGCCAGGGCTTAATGAGTTGGTCACCTGGCAGCCCCCAGAAGCAAGGCTTGTACGGAGCTCCCTGGCACCTTTACTGTTTCGGTGTTTTGAAAGGGTGGCAAGTATTTCCATAGATGTTGGTAAAGCACATAGTCTGTTGTCTACTCTGGTTTTAAAAAAACCCAGCATTTCTCAGAATCAGTCTCTGGAGAGTAATTTTGACATTAAAAACGCAGAAGAGGCACAATCGCATGAGCAAGCAAATGCAAACTCAGGCAGCATTGGTTTTTTTGCTCGATAAACGTTATCTGTTTCTTTTGTCAGATGTGAAATTCCATCTGTGCAATGTTTGGAAGGATTCCTGCAGTAAAAATGCCGCGTAAATGGGGTTCACCCAGGGGTAAGCAGGGCATATCTCAGATTCTCGTGCCTCCTCAGTAACAACATCATTAGAAAGAGGGAAAAAAAAAAAAAAGCGACCCTTAATCTTCCAAGGAATGCAGTATTGGAGGCTTCTAAAGCGAACTCATTAAATCATGCTAAGCTACTTGTCAAGCCAGTAACAAGGTATGAGTTTCATTATAACAGCACTTGTTGAGTTAGAAAGGGCTCAGCTCCAACTTGTAACTGGTTTGCTGGACACAGCAGAGTCATGCAATAGAACTGGGCATCCTACGATAGCGCTAAGCTGTGATGGCAATTATTCACAGGTAATTCTGTGTTTCTGCAACCTCCTTCAGAATTTCCACCAGTGCGGCCACAGGGCATGCTGCCGACTTTGGGAGAAGTTGTTTCGCCTCGGCACTGGGGTGAATGAAGGGACACACCAGGCTCAGAGAGCCGCACGTTGCCTCCCCCAGGAACCTGCGCATTGCAGATGAGCACTTGAAAGCGCTCTGCAACAGCAGTGTTGAATTAAGCTAAGTAGGACCATGTATTGGCAGGTCCGGGGGGCACAGCGGGGAGAGCAAAGGGGCACGGCGATTGTTGGAGGAGAGTTTTCTGGCTTTGAAACCCTTCTCAGCGGTTGTTGAAATAAAGGAGGTACCATTAGCAGGGGTCGAACGCAGGACCACGCCTGAGGCCAGCACGTCCCAGAGGAAGGGCTGAGGTCCATACCTGCAAGGCCAGCGTCACGAACACCCAGGAGTCCAGTAGCCTCCTGCGGGAGGGCGGTGGGAGGCTGAGAGCAGAGGGGAGCCCAGCCCAGTGCTGCAGTGCATCACTCCTACATCACACTGGGGAAGCCTAGCCCTTGTCTCAATAACTTCCTCGGCTCCTGCCCTTTCCCCTCGGACCCATCCTGCCTGCACCCACAAAGGCTCCCGGTCATTTGTCAGTTTGATAAACTGACCTTTCAGAGGCACGGGCTCTTCACCAAAGCTGACCGCAGGGACGGGCTCTCCTCCAGTGGGCAGAGTTGACTGAGCATCTCCCCATGCTGGGGCAGCAAGGGCTCTGCTTTGGGAGAGACATGGGATGACCCACGCCGGTGCAGCAGACACCAACCGTGGAACCCTCCACAGGCACCTGAGCTAAAGATCCCCAAAGGGGTGGCTTTTGTGTCCACCAGGGGGAGGCTTCAGGCTGCTGGTAGCTGTGTCCCGGCCAAGGGGCAGAGGATGGGGGTCTCCCGTGGGGCGGCCGCCTGCCGAGCTGGTGGAGGTAGAGCCGAACACAAATCAGGAGGTGGAGGGGACAGCCGTGCCAGGGCCGCTGGAGAGGGAAGATCAAAGGCTTTGCAGCGTTACAGCCACATGCTGAACCAGGGCTCTGTGCAAACCGGCTTCAAAAAGGTCACTTGTTCTTGGAACTGGTTGAAAAATGAAGTTACATTGTAATGCGCTTCCTATCCAGTGCCTATGTAAAGGGGATGCACGCCTGGGGGAAACAAGCACAGCTGGGTTTATTTATTTTTAAAGGATTGTCTTGCCCAGAGGCACCCAGCAGTTCATTACCCGCTTGCCCAGGCACACACCTCCCTCCGCGCTTCGCACATGTGCCCGGGGCTTAGCACACCCCTGAAACATGTCTGTGTCCCACCCTGCCACAGCCTGGTCTGCTGCCGCGCAAAGGAGAAGACGGCAGGCCAGGGGGAAGCCATGGCCGTGTTTCATATAGGGTAAGGTGATCTCACAGTGCCACCGTGGATGGGGATTTCTCGTTCCTGGAGTGCCACAAGATGGGGTCGAGCACCCAAGCCCCCAACCTGCCAGCAGAGAAGTGAGGTTTGCTCTGCCAAACTTAAGCTGGATCTAGAGTCTTATTTTCCTTCATAATGTTATTAACCCTTTGGCTGCGTTTTTAAGAAAAATTCCTATTGAGTCTTTCAAATTAAAAATCCACCAGCAAGAAAATGTTCCCCAGCCCATGCCCAAATTTTCTCCATGAAGAAACTACTGGGGAACATTTTCTTTTAACTTTTGAGATTTAAATGGTAGCAGAGCCAAACCAGCCAGTGGCCGTATCCCCAGATGGGTGGCTTCATGGCTCTCATTTTCAAATGTCACAGGTAGTGGCTTTGCTCACAGAGTTGTAAGGAGTTCCTCTGAGAAAAATGCTTAATTCAAGAGGATTTCTGTTTCCAGTGTCTTAATCAGCATCACATTTGTAACAAGGATGGAAAGTCAGAGGGGTACAGAGCCTGAGCTAACTGGAAAAAAGAAAAGGACCACCACCTTTGTCAAGGGTTCAAGGAAATCACTCAGGATGGTATTTTCTTCCTCTTCAGAAAGCAAGTAAAGAATTTTGGAGCCGTTTTGCTGGTTGACTGGGTCATTCTGGATGCCAAACAGAGAAATGACCTTTTTTTTTTCTCAAAGAAATGTATCGAATTCAACCTTTCTGGGTGTCTACTGTACTGACCTGTGGAGCAGGACACTGATCCATCCACAGCCATTGTTCTTCTTTGCCCAAGGTCCACGATGAACAGAACAAAGCTAAGACTGCGTTTTGGTGCTGTGGTTATTGCACTGAAACGTCAGTGCATAGGAATAATTTCTGTCATGTGAGATTTTCTTTTTAATTAGAGCAACAGCAACTGTGGTATAAATGCCTAGACTCTAGCAAACCCAACAGATTCTTCCAAAGCTTGCTGTGCTATTTTTAACACGCCAAACTAGATTCAGATTCAAAACAAAACACAGCAGAAAAATAATAGCGTGATGATCCGTTCAATATTTTTGCATCCCCGTGACTCTCTCAGCACAGCAGGGCAAGCATGCTCTGTGGTGCCCGTGGACCCAATTCCCTGTCTGTTTGGACCAGGGATTTAGGGCAATACCCTTTCAGCTGCCGACCATCAGAGGGGTGCACAGAGGTGGGGTTCCCAGGCAGTCGGGACATGGAGAGCTCTGGGGGCTGCTCTGCCTGGCTGGTGTTGGCAGGTTCCTCCCGCACATGGACAAGCCGATGCCAAAACCCTCTTTAGCATGGTGAGGCATAAGTATGGTTTTGTGGGAGCGAGGCCATTTTCTTAGTGCTGGCAGATCTCTGTGGGCAAGGGAGGGTGCAGGGCAGCACAGCCTGAGTCTGGCCAGTGGTCTCGGCTCGCCTCGGCTCTCTGATTTTAGCTGGCCCTGGTGAATTCAAGGCGGCTGCATGTTCTTGTTGTAAAGCAGCAAGAAATGAACAGCGGGTTTCTAAAACTGCATCACATTACAGCACATAAACATTTTAAAGAGTAAAAATGGCTTAAAACCAGGCTTTTAAAACAGTGAGAGAAAATGCCATACTTGAGGCCTCTCTCTCCCCTACTCC